AGGCGGGATGGGCCTTGGATCAACCTGGTCTAGTGGAAGGTGTCCCTGCCCATGGCAGGGGCGTTGGAACTGGGTGGTGTTTAAGGTCCCTTCCAACCCAAACCATTCCATGATTCTATGAAATAGTTTGTCCACCAGTGCCTTTCTGCTGAGTTTTTTGGAATGTGCTCTGAGGGTTTGTTCCTTACAAGCTCAGAGCCATTTGCTCTTTCACATAGCAGCCTACCTACAAATGGAGAGGGATTGTTACCTTGTTTAATGAGATAAGCTTTGCTGCAGTTAGTGTTGTAGCCACTCAGTTCCCTGATCTTCAGATGCACTTGATTATACTTCAGGTTGAGTCCTTTGTGTTTCTTCGCAGCTGGTTTGGAGTTGACTGTGACATTCCAAGCTCCTGCAGCTTGAAGTTTGCCTGCAGCCTTTGCTGGGCTAGCATTTCTTTGTGTCTTTATTTGAATTGTTTTCTTGATGCATGAATATTTCGGTGGAGAGCAGGTAGGGGGAGTTGTTGACAAGACTGGAGCTCCTCTGGTCCCGGGTAACTGAACCCTTCAGGGTGGAAGGATCAGCACATGCTGTGGGTGATGTTCCTGTGGCTACGGATGTTGGATATATAGCCCTGCCTGTTTGGTTTGCTTTGAGTATAAATGAGCAAAGGGTTCTGTTTTCCTGCAAAGCAGGGCAGGTGATTTTGGAGTTGATCCTAACTCAGTTTTATTTCTTTTTATTCAGTTTTGTGTGATCTTCCTTTGTTCTCTTTGCATGGTAGTGTGTCTTCCTTTCAAGGTTCAGGTACTAGACTGAAATTATATGAGTGGACAGTCAGGTAGTGCTATGGCATGTTCTGATTGTCGTCTTCTTTTCGCCTTCTCTTTGAACACAGGTACTTTGCCATTAGCCTCCCAAGAATCCATGATTGTGGAGGACTTGCTGTACGTTCTGATTGGTGTGGATGGAAGATACATCACAGCACAGCCTCTTGTAGGCAGGCAGAACCGAACATTTTCAGTTGATCCAAACTTGGACTTGTCCATCAAAGAGCTGGTGACCAGGATTCTTCCTGTAGCAGCAAGTTACTCTGCTGTCACCAGGTACCAAGCTGACTTTTGTCAGGGGGGGATGTTCTTCTTTGAGCATCAGGTTGTAAAATAGAGAATCCCTCATCATGCAGATGTTAACTTCCAAGCTTAATTTAACCCCATGGGGATACAAAATAAGAATGACAATTTCTTTGAAATGGTTTTAGCCACATTTCTTTTTCCTGGGTTTCTCCTCTGTGCTGCCAGTTCACTTTTTCGCTTGCCTCACCTTCACTTTGTCTAACTTTGGTCTTGGTATGTTCAGGCAAAGTGCAAATCTGGTATGTCTGCTTGTTCTGGCTTGTCTCTTCCCACTCTGCTATGAATTTCTCCATGTTTCCTGCTTTTTGCTCTCCTCTGGGCATCCAGGAGTGAGGTAACCACCTTTGTGTGCTTCTGAGCAGGAGAACCTACTGCTGCCTAGCTCTGGAAATTGTTAACGGTCTCAGTACATTTGTTATGTAGATGTCTGCATTTGATTCAAAGTCCCTGGAAGATCAGCAAAGAGGGAGAAACATTTTTAGGATGTGATTCATCCAACCTCTTTTACATGTCTTTTTCCAGATGATATGACAGATTCTGCAGAATCTGTCCCTAACATGTACGGAGCCATCTAAATCTGGTCAGATGAATCCCTGCTGTGGCACGCGGTGTCAGAAGCTAGCAACAGTGCTTTCCCCACACGTCTGGGTGCACACTGCTTCCTTCTGAGATCTTTTCCTGTCCTCTAATCTGTGGCTTGCGTAAAGACAGTTGCCTTGAAAATACTGGCTCTCACTTTTTACGAGGTGGTTTGGCAAATTCTAGTTCCCCTGCAATTTGAGAGGAATCGTCTTCCCACAGCTTTCCATACTGGGAAATGTGGGCAGAGGAAATAGGCAGGAGGACGCAGCAAATGTGGAACCTGAAACTCCAGCTGAAGACTGGTGTGCTTTCCAACGCATGATCTGCTCGTGTGCTTGTACAGTGTCCTGAAGATAAAATTCCTGAAAATGATAGAAGCCCTGAAAGAGCTTCCTTTTTGCTTTTTACAGGTTCATAGAGGAAAAGTCTTCCTTCGAGTATGGACAGGTAAATCACGCTCTGGCTGCTGCTATGCGGACTCTAATCAAGGAATACATGATACTGATTACCCAGCTGGAACATCTTCAGAGACAGGGACTTCTGTCACTGCAGAAACTCTGGTTTTATATCCAGCCCACAATGAGGACCCTGGAGATTCTTGCTTCACTTGGTAAATTTCAAAAATACAAATACAGTCATTACATTTTAACGGGTGCATGACGACATCTGAAAGCTCTAGAGAGTAGCAATACAGGCAGGGCATGTGTCCTTTTAACTTTACATTCTATTAAAGAAGAAAGCCAAGGGGAGCTGTATTTGTCAGAGCACTGCTGGTTTTTTGAGAGTGGTGGGTTTGAGAGCTGAATTTGCCCTTCAGAGCTGCCAAGAGGCACGTCCATGCCTTTTACCTTCATAATCCATGCCCTTAGGCTCAGTTGTTTCCACTACCTCTGTCTCTGCTCAGCTTCTTTCCAAATGCCTCTCCAGCTGTGTGTGGATGTATAACCACCAACTGATTCAACCAGAAGGGACCCCTGGAAGTTCCTAGTCCAACCCCTTGCTCACAGCTACAGCAGGTTGCTCAGGGCCATGTCCGGGTGAATCTGGACAATCCCTGACGATGGAGATCTCCCACCCTTCTGGAGCCTTTCCCGTGACATCACCACCCTTTTTGTGAACATTTTCTGTGTCTCCAGCTGGATTTGGCTTTCTTGTAACTTTTGCCCTTTTGACATGGCCACTGTGATCCTCCAAGAGGAGATTCACATCATCTTCTCTAGAACCATCTGTTGGATAGTGAAGGAATGAGGTTTGACAACGCTCAGCTTCATCTTCTCTCAGCTAACAAGCCCAGCTCCCTGAGGGTCTCCTTGTATGCCGTGGGCACCAGCTCCTCACCTCTGCTGGACTCTTCATTTTGTCATTCACACTGGGAATCCCAGACTGAATGCAGTGGTCCGGCTGTGGCCTCACCAGTGCTGGGTCGAGGGGAAGTACAGCCCTTGGCGCAGTTGGCATCCGTTGTTGCAGGGACACACCGCTCACCCCCTGGTTGTTCTCTGCAGCGCTGCTTCTCAGCCAGCTGGTCCCAGCCTCTGTCCTGGCATGAGGTTGTTGGTCGTGGATGCAGTTACCTCAGTAATTTTGGTTAAGGTCTTTGGCATGAGGATACTTGTATGTTTCTACTCGGCCCAGAGAATTTGTCTGGACCTAAAAATCTGTTCTGTTTACAATCTGGGATTGGATGATCCCTTTTGGCATTCACTTTTCTTGAACTGTTTGGGATTTTGGAACACAGCAGTTAACCAACTGCTCCGTACATGTTAGTGGAGAGGGACAGATTCTGCAGAATCTGTCATATCATCTGGAAAAAGACATGTAAAAGAGGTTGGATGAATCACATCCTAACCAACACTATCTACTTACCTAAATCCTGGTGTTCCAGCTCAGTGTTACAGCTGAGAACGGAAGTGTTTTTGAGATCAGAGGTTTCTCAAGCAAGCCAAGAAGCACGTGCTTCCTCCGTTACCACCTGGAAAGGGGATCTCTGCACGTGGCCCCCCGCGGTGTAGGAGACTTTTTGCCTCTAAGCCACCATGTACCTTGTGTCAGCCTGAGTTTAGTTCTTCCCTGGAGGGCTGGGCTTGTTTGTTGGTGTTTCAGGTCGTCGATCATTTGGGTTTTCATTTCAGGACATCTCGGGGACGTCAGCTTTTGGTTGGGTGGTGGAATGGCCTTGCACCTTCACAGCTGACGTAAAGGTCTGTGACAGGGTGGTCAACTAATCAACTGCTAACTTAATAAAGCTTAACAGCATAACCTGTGCAGTTAATCTGTGTCAGCTCTCTGTCTCATATCTATATTTTTAAATTTCAGCTACATCTGTGGATAAAGGTGAGTGTATGGGAGGATCAACCCTGAGCTTACTCCATGACAAGACTTTCAATTACACGGGGGACAGCCAGGCCCAGGAGCTGTGCCTGTATTTAACCAAGGCAGCCAGTGTGCCTTACTTTGAGATTCTGGAAAAGTGGATCTATCGAGGCATCATTAATGATCCATACAGGTAAAGAACAGTTAAGGAGTGAAAATGAAATGCAAAAGTTAAGAAATACTGTTCAGGCTTCTGCTATTTCTGTGCACCCATCCCTGTACTCTGTAGAGTCTGCACGGCCTGGGAGCCCAGCCCTGGCAGCAGTAGGTAGACGAGGCAGTATTGCAAGGAAAGGGAGCTCCTGGAGCATGTTTAACTGCATTTCTTATATGATTCAGTGGTTATACAGCCAGAGACACTCTCACTTGCTTTATTTTTCCAAATTCAAGGATACTGTATGCAAAAGTCAGTAGCACAACTGTTCAAATATTGCAGTCCACTCCTATTCCACATTACCATGCCTGTCCCCCTTTCAGTATTTCCTCACATCCTCTTCACGACAGGGATGAGCCCTCTTCTCTTGGGGCACGAGGGTGATAACTCAGTGGATCTACGTTAAGTGTCGTCCACTAACACGCTAATGTGATATGAGCAAACGACACTGAAGTTTCTTGGCTTCTGTAGAGTTATTTGAAGCATTTTGCTGTGTTTAATAGTTTATGCAGCATTTCTGTTTCCTGTATTTTCAGTCCTAAGGTGGCAAAACTCAAAGTAGCTAACGTTAGTGCCTTTCTGATGGTGAGAAGGCAGGCGAGGAGCAGCTTTCTCACCTCCACGCTGACAACCAAATAATGTTTAGGTGTGGTTTGTGAACTCAGCAAAATTCTGTTGGTCGTAATGGATTGCAGATTAGCAGGAATACTCTGCATAATGTATTTTCATGAGACCTTATTTCTGGTAGAACTTATTCCTAGTTTACAGGTCAAAAAAAGGTAATCCTCATTGTACCACTTCCTGCTTCTAAACATCTGCTTTAACTGTACAGTGAGTTCATGGTGGAGGAACATGAGCTGCAGAAGGAGAAGATTCAGGAGGACTATAATGACAAGTACTGGGATCAAAGATACACTGTTGTTCAGCAACAAATTCCCTCATTCTTGCAGAAAATGGCCGACAAAATACTAAGCACAGGTAGGTAAGATACGCTTCTGAGGTAAGAGGAATCTTGAGACAAGCATTACTGTTCTTTGGGTAAAGATAATGTCATCATGCTTTGCCAGTTTACGGGGTTGTCCAGCTGAACTTTTCAGAGGAATAGAAGAATCAGCGTTGAAAAGAACCCCAAATCTTATAAATAAAACAGCGTGTGGGGAAGAGTCCAGCAGCACGGGGAGCTGCCTCTTACTGCTCTGTTTCCTGGGTACAGTTTTCTGGCAACTAGCTAGATGGAGCTGGACAACTGAGGTTTGAACTTGCTGCGCTTTAACGTGGGTGTTTAAATGAAGCAGGCAGCCCAGTGGCTACCATTGTTCTCTTCTGGAAGTAAAAAACCCTCTGGATATCTGCAGAGATGTTTTGCCACTGCTGGTAAACAAACCCATTTCTAAATCTCTCCTCAAATGTGATACTAGGTGCCTAATCTACATCTTTCGAAAGGGGTCTGAATCCTTCCCAGCTTTCAGTAGAACTTGGTGTGAACATTTCACAGCATGTCTTCCTCTTGAAACGGTCTGAAAGTTTCCCTGTTGGATGCACAGTAGGCATGAACATGCGTCATTCTTTTTGCTTCTAGGGAAATATTTAAATGTTGTGCGAGAATGTGGACGTGATGTTACCTGCCCTGTGGCTAAAGAGGTCATCTACACTCTAAAAGAGCGAGCGTATGTGGAACAAATAGAAAAAGCATATAACTATGCTAGCAAAGTTCTTCTGGATTTCCTAATGGAGGAGAAGGAACTGGTGGCTCACCTAAGGTTTGATTTATTTTACTAAATGCGTGTGAAATAGATTGGTTCTGATAGTGAATGTGAGTTTGTGAAGTTAACTCTTCCTTATTTTGGAAAAAGTAAGATTTTTTTCCTGATGGTGGGGGAAAAAAGTGTAAAATGATACAAAAGTTGGGCGGGAAGGATGTCTGGGAGTCCCTAGTCCAAATTCCTTGGAAGGCTGTTGCCAAAACTAGGTCAGGGCACTCGTGGCTTTGTCTAGGCCAGTCCCAAAACCTGCCCTCAGGCACGGACATCCCCCACCTTTCTTGTGACTTGTCCCTCTCACCTGGGATGATGATGATGTCACTCTCACCTGGGAAAGGAGTTTCCTAATACCATCTGGTATGATCACGAAGAGTTTAATGTGAATGAGCAATAGTTTGATATTATTATCTCACCAAATATATGCCATGGCTATTGTTCATGGAAGCATAGGTAGTTGGAATAGAGTAAAGGTGTTAGCCCCAAGTTCCAGTACAGGTTTTTCTTAACACCGTCCTTTTGAAAAGTTCATAAACGGTATTTTGAGTCTTGTAACACATTCAGCTGATAGTAAATGCAGGTGTCTCCCAGCATGTGAGCTCCGGCTTTCCTGTATGAATCAAGCTTTTAGCTTATTACTGTCTTCAGAAAACAGTAAAACCAGGAATCTTAACTATCCAGAAGACCAGGATAGGTAGGAGACCAAGACAGACAAATCTGTCTTGAAGACCAAGATAGCAACAGATAGGAAATGGCAGTTGATAGCTTTGAGGTCTGAGGTGGGGTGGTTGTGATCAAACCCAGGGACCTGTAGCAGATAACCACTCCTCAGTTAAGCGAGAGTATTGACTCTCTCTCCACCATCCCGGAAAGGTTGGTTGGAAGGGAACAACCTCCTCTCTAGGAAGTCTCTAGTTCAACCTCCTGCTCGGAGTGAGATTGTCACCAGTATTAGGTCAGGTTTTTATTTGGGTTTGCACTCTGTGGTGTATCAGCAGTAAGTACCTTGCTCCCATACCTTTTGTGTCCTCAGTTAACCGCTGACACTGTCATGACTTCCCCGGGATTGCGGGAGTGTGCCTGGTTCAGGAGAGTAATGACAGTCAGGGAAGCAAAGGGCCTGATCGTCATCCCAAGTTGACAGTGATCAGGAGTTTGCAACCACACTGTGTTAAGGATGTGCTGGTCCTGTTTGTGTTCTGAAAACTGCAGTTATCATGTGTGATCTTTGGCCAGGCACTAAGTTAATCCTCAAACTCTCCTCTGAACTGTTTCCAAGCTCCTTGCCCACTGCAGTTAACTCTCCCTGATGTCACAGGAAAACTAAAGTTTATGCATCCTGCTATAGCAGAAGTCAGTGCAAGTACCTGGAGTACTTACAAAAATCAGCACAAATACTTGTTCATTCAAAAGAGTCCAAGATTCTGCTCTGAGTTGGCAACTGCCTCTTGCATGGATCTACAGACCGTGGAGGGTGTGGTGCTCTTTAGACCAGCAGTATGAACCTTTTCCCAGCAATGTAGTGCGTATGTTTGCTTTTTTTCTTCCTAAGGTACATTTTTCAAGGTAAAAAGAACAGTAGCAGCCCTGATCTGACTCTGCAAAAACATCCTGACTGAGGTGGAAGGGAGGAGGGGACATGCATAAAAGACTAGTCTGCAAATGGGTTATTTCTGGCTGTGTGGGGTGTATGAAGAGTAATATTTTGTGATCAAACCCAGCAGGCTGGCCAAATTGATTGCTTTTGATCCTTTAGGTTTAATATGGATTACCTTGGGCTTTAAAAATCATGATCAATTGTCCCTCCATTTTCTTGAGCAGATCTATAAAACACTATTTCCTGATGGATCAAGGGGACTTTTTTGTTCACTTCATGGATCTCACAGAAGAGGAACTAAAGAAGCCTGTAGACGACATCATAACTACGAGACTAGAGGCTCTGCTTGAATTAGCCCTGCGAATGAGCACAGCCAACACAGATCCTTTCAAGGATGATTTAAAGGTAAGAATGTATGTAAACAGAAGATAATTGAATTTGAGCAGAAGGCCTGCCTTGATTTGGGAAGATCTGTGTGCCTGTAAGAATCTGCTGCATGTGCAGGGAAGGAAAAGTGAATTGGTGACTGTCCTGTAGACCTTCTCTGGGTTATGTCTTCTTTTACTCAAATTAGTGACCGGAAACACCCGCCCTTGACCAGGGGCTGCATTTTCTCGCTGGTGTCTGAACATGGAGAATGTGCTCTTGGGTGGCCTCAGGAGGAGGTGGAAGCATTAGTGTGTCTCTCATGCTTATTCTCAGCTTGGGTGCTCAATTTGGAGTACAAGAAAATACCTGATTAGAAGTCCTGCCTGTTGATGACTGTGTAATTTTCAGATGTGAAGCAGCACAGAGGCTGTGCCTGGGGAGTGTGAGATCTGAATAGACATTACGGAGGCTGAGGGCAAGGGAGAGCGGTCAGCGGCGTAGTATGTTGTGTGCTGGTTTTTAAATACCACAGCGACACTGCTCTGGTGTCTGCTGCTGCGCTGTCCAGATGATGTCATTTACTGTTGCCTCCTGGGTCGGTCTGGTGACTTGAGAATGACCCTGATAACCTGCACTTCTGCCATGTCAGTTGCTGTGTGGTAGTTGCGAGTATCCTGTGGCTTCATCGTTTTCCTGCTCTTTCTTTGTAGATTGACTTGATGCCCCATGACCTCATTACCCAGCTCTTGAGAGTACTGGCCATAGAAACGAAACAGGAGAAGGCCATTATCAGCGCAGATCCCACAGAGCTCACTCTCAGCGGTCTGGAAGCATTTTCCTTTGACTACATTGTTAAGTGGCCTCTGTCCCTTATTATCAACAGGTAGAGTATCAGTCTGCTGAAGGTAAAAAGGGCAGAAGCTTTTGCATGGGGTTGAGGCCCGTTTCCTCGCAGCAAAATACTGGAAAGCCTGTGACTTTAAAGTGACATTTTAAGTTGGTGACTCATAGGGAATGCTTTGGGGTCATTGCGCCTTGCTTGCTCCACTTCTAAGCTATGGAGTATGGATTGTCTCTTCAGTTAAAGCCCTGCTAGACCATGTCTAAGCTATGCTTGGAAAGACAAACTTTCACTCCAAGTGGTGGGAAGACGTAGATCGGAGGATGCTTTCCCGGCCTGGTCCCTGGTTTTACGTGTGACTGGTCACGGAGTTTTCATTTGTCCGTGGCTTTCTGAAGTATTTCCCCTGAGGATATGAACTCTCACGAGAGGGTTTCCATGCAAGAATTGAGCATTTCTCAATTGCGGAGAGCAGAAAAAAACCCACTTCCTGGTATCCCTGGTTGCAGACTAGGATACCGGCTGTTGATAGAATTGCTATAGCAAGCTGGCTGGAATTTAACTGAGTTATAAGGGACTGAATGGTTTATTTTTCTGCAGGGATTTTCCCCCTCTTTCTCTGGAGAAACACTGGCAGACCTGCTACTGTGAGCCAGGGCAAATGAGACCGGCAGTGTTACGTGAACAGGGTGACATGTTGAATTGCTAAATGCCAAGAATTAGTTTATCCCTTAATTTCTTCCTTAAAAAATCGGTTGACACAGTGGGACTTTTCTGATGATGCGATGCTTTGGAAATTATGTCTCTTTCTTCCACATGGGGTGTATGAGCTCCGCTGGTAGCCATAGAAGTGAAAATACTATTTGGTAGTGTCTCACGAACTGTATCGACTGGAGCTCTGTAGACACGTACACTGAAGTGTCTGAATGCAGACCTGAATCCAGTCCCTGAAGCTATAAATAAGCATCCCCATCTGCTTCTGACAGTGCATCACTGGTGGGGTAATGCTGCCTGTAGCTTGGTCACAGCTTTTTCTTCATCTTTTTGAAGCATCCTGGTGAATTGTTTTGGTGATTGTGGCAGTCTTAATGCAGTGGGTACGTGACCACAGGCTTTCAGCCCTCCACCCCAGCATCTCTGAGTGACCTTTTTGCAGGTAGCTCCAGGGAATTGAAGAAGGAGGCTGGTGATGCACCCTCTAGCATAAGAAAATAAGGAGGAGGGACTCCTTGAAGAGCCATCCTTTGGGATGGTTACAAATGTGATTTTTTTTCCTTTGGTTCAGATTGTTTCAGTGCGGATCTGCGTGCATCTGAAGGCGTAAGGGACATATTGTGTGAAGTCTCCTCGCCTTGAGTAGCCTCAGCCTTCACAGCTTAGTCTGTCAATCAAAACAGGGCTTAATCTGCATGGGTTTCTCCTTTCTTTTCAGGAAAGCACTGACAAGATACCAGATGCTTTTCAGACACATGTTTTATTGCAAACATGTGGAAAGACAGTTGTGCAACGTTTGGATCAGCAACAAGACAGCCAAGCAATTCTCCCTGCATTCAGCTAAGTGGTATGACCTTTTTCTCTGCGGGATCAGATGTGAAGTTTTAGGGTTCCTTCTTGCTAGTTAGATAAGTCATGACATGAATGAGATCATTTTAATGTGAAAAAGATCCTTACAGGCTGAGAGAGCTCAAAATATAACATTTTAGGTTGCAGTAGGAAGGGTATGCTTGATAATCTTTGTGCCGCTTGGCTTGTTCCTCTTTGTTGGCATGAGCTTTTGAAAAGGAAGAGGTGGCCTTTAGGGTTAGCTCATTATACACTGAACAGTTATAGCAGAGGACATCTGTGCACATATCGTCTTGGTTGCTGATTTCACATCAGCAAGGTCAGGAGTAGTTTAGAGGCAACGTCCTTCTCTCCTGGCCAGACTGCTAGTGAGGACTCGTGACCTTCGCACAGCTTGGCTGATGCTAGGTGCGATACAAATTGATTAGGGTAAAATTGCTGGGGTATTTTCCCAGAAAATCGTGCTATCTTGTTCCATCTGTGAGGGTAGATTTTCATCCTTGGATCTTCTGGACTCCAGGTGCTGGAGGTGCCTGTTCAGAAAGCAAGGCAGACCCCGGAATTGCAAGGTAGTACCTCCTGCCTTGCCAATGTGCGCTTCCTTGTCACAGGGTAACCTCAGCTGTCTTGGTGCTGACCTCTGCCAAGGGAACAGCAGCTCTGGTTCTCCTGTCATTGTAGAGGTGTTAGCGGAAGAGACCTGTGAGGGTCTATAGCTCAGCCTCCAGCTCGCAGGATCCTCAGTGGACAGGACAGCTCTGGTTGGCATCCCCTAGGATGGGTATCACCCAGCCCTCCAGTGACCTGTCCCAGTTTGCTGAAGCCAGGTCTTAGTTTGCCATCACAGAGCCTGCATAAATTAACACTGAAAGAACTTCTATACGCTCTCACCATTCTCAGTCTAAGGTGAAATTGCGTGAAATACCTTAGGTAGAAGATGCTTTGATCCCCTGAACACACTGATGCAAGGCATGGAATATTTTTAAGTGTTCGTTTAACAAGTAGGGCTGGAAAGAAACATGAACCACTTACCTTGTTATATTTTGCCCTGCTCATGAATGCACGTCTCACTAGATAGTTACACTAGTAAAATTGCTTTAATATTTAATACTAAAATGTTAGTTGAATATAAGCACATATTCAGAGTCATTGTCCAGTCTACAACAGGTTCAAAACTCTGACTCTAGAAATTGAGGGAAAGCCATTTGAATATGTGGAAAATAATCAGAGATGGTTTGCCTTAACTTTATAATCCCTCTTACACTGCAGCAGTGAATTTGCTAGGACAGAAATATTTAGCTCTGCTTGACTGTGCAAAGCTGGTGATAGTTCTCTCTGGCATTTGCTGGCTCTGAGTTGTGTGGGTGTGATTTCTCCTCTAGGTTTGCTGGTGCTTTCACACTGCGGCAGCGGATGCTGAATTTTGTACAGAATATCCAGTATTACATGATGTTTGAAGTGATGGAACCAACATGGCACATTCTTGAGAAGAACCTGAAGTTGGTGAGTGTGTGTTCTTGAGAGAAGTTGGAACAGAAGTCTGAAGACAACAAATCTTATAGAGGGAAAAAATACCTGATTTCAGTTACTGCGAATGACTGTTATTTTGCTGGAGGCACTTAAAGTATGTTGGAACTGTTGTTCTTATCACTGCAAAGAGTGCTACTGTTCTGTATCACCTTCGTGCTTCATTAGTCATATATCCCTTTTCTCTGCTGCAGCATCCCGTACTCGCACTCTGCACCCTGTTATGTAAAGGTGGTGTTCTGCTGAACATCACCTTACACAGAAGAAAGAAAACCATGGAAAAGCAAGAAGGATGCAGGGTGCAAAGATCATAAACAAGTCCAGACATCTCAGTTGATTCCTTGGCTGACTTACAGTGCTCTGAAAAGCCAAGTCTGTGCTTTCTCTTCAGTGAAGCTGCCAAGGACTGGCTTGCCAGGGACTATCTGTTGTAAAACAGGGCCTTCCTTATTCAGGTGGCTATTCCACATGTATATTCCCACTGCAGGTAGGCAAGGCTGGAGAACTTTTCCACTCTGGTGGTATCTGGGAGAGGCTAAGCTTACTTCCCACTGTTTTTTATGCCTGACAAGGGGGTATCTGGGCAAAGCATGCATCATTTTGGTTCCTTTCACCAAGATGTGTTCCTTTCACCTCAGAGTATTCTGAGCTGTGGGATTTCCGAGGTGTGTTCAGTAATCCAAGTCAGTGACTTCTCCACAAGTTAACTCTTTGCCCTAGCAAAAACTTCAAGAATCTGTTTTTATCTCCTGATGGTGACGTGAAATGCCTTTATTATCTCAGAGAGGAACACATTCTCAGCTAATGTCCCACCTGCCAGTTTTAAACCAAGGATGAAAAGTCACTGGGAGCTTACCCTTCAGAACAGGCTGTTCAAGAAGCCCATAAAGGTCTTCTCATATCTGGCTTCATTCACATCAGATTAGTTAGTTCCATCCTCAGCAACAGAGAAAAAAAATCTCTGACAGCAGGGATAGCATCTTAAGTTACTTCTGTACTGCTGCCTAAAATAAGGGCAAAGACATAGGCTGGCTGCTCCACATTACATAGCAAGTGTCTCCACTCGGTCGTGTGTGGCCCTACCATACACTCGTTTTGTGTTCTTCCAGCTGCAAGTGTTGGCAGCAGGGTGGGGAGGGCTGTGCTGTAGCTGTTTTCACAGCACGGAGCTGCAGGGATGCACTGTGTGGGCTGAGCTATGTCGGGAAGGCCTGTGGAACCACCGCAGGCTACAAAGTTTGGTGGAGTAGTGTTGGAGGGCTTTGCCAAGGGAGGGAATCTGGCCTGCTGCCATCTCCTCTGTGCCAGAAGACAACTTGAGAAGGCCCTTAGGAAGTGCTATGATGGTGAGCTTTGTGTGACGGTCATCTTGGCGTATGGCACTCGGCACAGGTAAGGGCTGTGCCAGGCAGTGATCTTGTGTTTAATCAGAGCAGGTGATCAGTGATGCGTTCTCAAGCTTGCTTGTTTAGCAGCATAACCTTTGTCATTTTTGAGATTTTTCCTTATCCTGAGGGACACTGCATTCCCCGTGGTCCTTCTCAGCTTCCTTACCCACTGTGGTGCTGCTGTCCTGGGGCTTTTGTTAGGATTATTATTCTTCCCTCTGGTAGTCATCCTGTGATCAGATACTTCTTGCACATCTTCTTCCTCTTACACCATGAAAAACATTTATCTGATGAGCCAAACAGCCCAACGCTCCTGCAGTCTTCATGAAGCAGTTCTCTTGGCAGCTCTCTGATGAGCCTTGTCAATCTTCAACATCAACTGACGTTGTCTTAGTTTCTGCTGTGTATTGAGGAGTTCTGGGGTCAGCAAACCAATATTTTTTGGTGCCCTGTCATCCTTTTTCCTGGAGAATTCACAGGTTTCAGGTCTAGGATTGTGAGCATCTTTACATATTCTTGGTGAGGAATTCTGAACAAGAAGAGGTTATGTATCAAGCTCCTGGATGATCTGAGAGAAGTGCGCTCGAACGAGTTACCCTGGCCGGGTTCTTCCATACTGATCTCGGGTAGTGCTTCCTTTCAGCCGTTGCTGATTCCAGATGTCCTAGAAGGGACTGTGAAATGCAGCAGGCACGCAGTCTGTGTTGACAGCATCCTCTGTTCAGAAGAGACAGTCTTCTGACTCCAGAATTTTTGCAAAGACTCTGTCGGAAGATCCTTCTCTGCTTTGGCTCTCAGCCATTAGGTTTCTCTGCTCCTTCAGAGATACAGTGGCGTCGAAGCATTTTTATTTCCATTCCAAACAATTTATGTTGTTTCCCAGAGGAGCCCCGTTCCCATGAAACATCTAGACCAAACCTTTTTGATCGCCCAATTCCCTTGCCATGGAACATCTGTGAGCCTCTCTAGCCTGCCAGACATGTTGGGATAGCAGGTATAAAGTGACTTTGCTGGCACTGGGGAAAGGTGTTTCCATGGCTGTATGGCAGAAAAATAGATCTGTCTGTGCCTTCTACAAGGAAGCTGGAGGGGACTTTTTGCAAGGGCCTGTAGTGACAGGATAAGGGGTGATGGGTTTAAATTGAAAGTGGGAAGGTTTAGATTGGACATCAGGAAGAAGTTCTTCCTGGAGAGGGTGGGGAGGCACTGGGACAGGTTGCCCAGAGCAGCTGTGGATGTCCCATATCTGGAAGGGTCCAAGGCCAGGCTGGATGAGGCTTGGAGCAACCTGGTCTAGTGGAAGGTGTCCCTGCCCATGGCAGGGGGGTTGGAACTGGATGATCTTTAAGGTCCCTTCCAACCCAAACCATTCTGTAATTCTGTGATTCACCACATACTTCATTTCTCAAACCCTGAGGGCTGCTGCAGCATTTTGTAGGGCATTTCTACCATTGAAATTAAGGGCTTCTCCAAGTAATAGTGCAGTAGTAATGACTCAAAGCTGCCTGTGATGTCAGTATGTACACAAGCCACACCTCAAAACTGAGAAGAGTTTTTTTGCAAGTTAGCAAAGTCTTTGAGACGTACTGCAAGTGTAGGTTTGCCTTCCATCCTCATCAGTGTCCCTCAAGGCTTTTAAATCTCTGGGAGGTGGAGCATGCCTTCCACCTGTGCTGGGGCAGGCAAAGTCTAGCTCTAGGCACGGTTGCGATACGGGCATCCGTGAGGTGACTATCCCAATGCTGCCAGCTAAAGAAGCTGTTGCAGCAACCACTTTGCTATGCGGTCCTTTAAAAGAACTGCTCCTGAGGGATGATGTATCCCCAGCTGCTGAGTGAAATCTTCCATGATTTAAATAAAAACATAATTTATTTCCAAACAGGACACAGAACTGGCTCTTTAACCTCCGTAGCCTACAGGCTGGGGGAGATTTTTTTCTTTCATTTGTGTTTTAGGAAGGAAAAGGATGATCTTCACTGATCTCATATAGTGCCTTCTGCTGTTTTTTGATTTGTCAGACTTCTCTTTTGTGCATTTCCCGTTAAGTTAAGGCACTTTCTTCCTAAAAATATAGCTAGTATCTTCACATTCAAAACACCATTATCTTCATAACATAACTAGCGTCTTCGTGACATTAGAAGGTGGCATTTATCCCTGTTCTGTACTGGTAGTTTAAAAGGTTATGGGTGGCGATTTTTGGCACTGATCCTGGTGAGCAGCGTGGATACTTTGGTGACCTTAGTCCTATGGCTTTTTTGTAAGCTTAACTTGTGTTCTCAGCTTCAGCACATCACATAATTGTACAGAGTGAGAAGGGGTTTTTAATCTGTCATTTAAAACTTGAGACTGAAACAGCCCTTTGAACTAACAGAGCTGGACAAAAATCTTGCAGCATCCTTAACAGCACTGCATGTCCCAGTTCCTTACTGTGCTCCTAAAATGTGTTTCTGAATAACCTGTTTGTTTTGAGCCTCGTAAACTTACTGACGTTTAAGGTTCTTTGATTTATATTTCTCTTTTCCTCTTACTGCAGTTGACTTTGCTGCGATTGTGAAGGTGGGAGTGGGCATGACAAGCATATTTAAAAGCAGAGGAAGTGCATGTGCATAAGGCAGATAACTCCATCTGAGCATTCTTTCCGGTGGAGGGTTTGGATGGTTAAAGAAAGCATAATTTGGTGGAGAAGGTGATGTAACAAATCAAAGGTAAAAAGCCTGTGAAGGGCTGTCGAAGGCAGTAATGCAAGTACAGTCTGGATGTCAGGATGTTTCTCAAAGCTGGAAGGTACATGAGAAGTATCTCAGCATGCCCTAGAGCACATCTGAGAGGTCACTGTCGGAGGCAGGATGCTGGGTTAGAGCTTTGCTCCAGTGCAGCGCGGCAGTCCTGGTTTGGGTTTTCATTGTTGTACTGTCCTGTCACAGGCATCTAATATCGATGATGTCCTGAGCCACCACACAAGCTTCCTGGATAACTGCTTGAAGGACTGCATGCTAACCAACCCAGAGCTGCTGAAGATCTTCTCCAAGCTGATGTCTGTCTGTGTCATGTTCACAAACTGCATGCAGGTAGGTATGGCCTCCCTGTATTCGTTGTGCCATTGCCAGCCAGCTGTGACAGTCCCTTTTTTCCACCTCAATCCCTCTTGCTCTTGATGCTTTTGGAAGAGCCCCTGTTTCTCCCACCAACGGGCTCTAAAGCTTGACTGCTCAGACCCTCATCCTTTCTCACAGATGTTTCCTGTGGCTCTTCCCTCCACAAAATTCTCTATGCTTTTCCTTTTTGGTGTTGGGATCAGGTTCTTATGAACCAAATTGCGTCTCTTCAACCAGTTCTGCAGCAGAATTTGAGGTGTAAGTTGTAGGGCTCTGTAATTTTTAGTGTGCTCTTTTGAGGGTCAGATGAGGACTGATCTTCATGGGCACACTCTAGCCAGCATCTCGGGGAGCCCATAGCTTAAAAAAAACCCCACCTTCCTTTGGGTTTAGGCAGCTTTGTCTATTAATGTAAATTTAAGCTCAGACTTAGCTTTTGTGGGAGCTGGCTAGGTGCAGGGCTAGCAGAACTGGGTCAGACTCATGCTTTGCCATAATTGAAAACGTGGGATCTAACCATTTCCCCAAACCTCTGCCCTTCCAAGAGGTTCACCCAGAGCATGAAGCTGGACAGCGAGATGGACCGGCTCACCTTAGAGCACGGCACAATGCTGGGCCCGCCAACAGAAGAGGAGCGTGCTGAGGAGGCTGCCAAGAAGAAGATGACTAACAAGGTGGGACTTGGAATGGGTAGTTGGGCCCTTTTCTCTGTGAATGCTGCCTGGGGTTGTGGTCGCATGATAAGCGATTTGTTTGGCATGCTGTGTGGTTAGCGAGCTGCATCCTGTCCTGCTGGAAGCCCCTCTCTGCACACAGCAAGGCAGTCAGCGTGCTACAGGGATTACAACCTGTCTTAGGCAACATTCGCTTTCTGCTCACTGGCTTCTCCTCCTGCTTGAAAATAAATGATGACAGCATATATTTGAGGATAACTCTACTGGGATCTGCTCTGGGTTTTTCCCAGGCAGCTACAGCGAGGTTTTTCACTACCAAGAACCTTGTAACTGTTTTGAAAGATTTATTTTAGTGGCTGAACAACTCTTAAGTTTTATGGAAGTGTTTTTTAACAGGTTAGAAAATAGGGAAGGAATAATTGCACCTCTTTGGCAAGGGTGAACCAGCATACATGGGGCCACTATTCCTCTGTCTTGACAGCTTTTAGCAGAGCATGCTGACCACCTCCACCTGACATCTGGCTTCGAAGCAACGATCAACAAGTTTGATAGCAATTTCTCAACACATCTGCTGGACCTGCTGGACAAACTGAGCATTTACAGCACCAATGACTGTGAGCACAGCATGCTCAACATCATCTACAGGTGAGCCAGTAGTTTCCTCTCCGTAACTTCTCCCTCCTGTGGTTCCTGAGTTCAGGTCAGGAAGAGTAATTGCTGTTTATAACTGTATGTGTGTTCCATCCATGAAAGCACTGAAATCAGAAGAAATGTAGCTTTGCATTTCAACCCAAGGCCTTAAAAACACGCCAACAACATTCCTTTGAATGATATGAAATTTGTCTGTTGATACAAGTGTTAGTTTACTCAGGGATTATCTCACTGTGTAGACAGTGAATAAGCTGAGTCCTGAATGCAGCGTAAGTATTCCAAGATGAGAAAACCATATAAAGGATTGATCAGACGTAGCTGTTTTGTTTGCTTTAAGTTCATATCTTTTATTTATTTAAATAATCATCCCTTAATATGTTCTTACTGCGGCCTCATCCGTACTTACTAGCTACTTAGAAATCAAAATTCCCCCAGTAATACCTAGAAGTCACGTATGCAAGACACACTGCCGGAAGGAGGAGAGAGAGGAGATCTAGATTTGTAACCTCTGTGTTGCTTTTTCCCTAAAATGAGATGCACAAGGCCTTCTTTGGAACAATTAACACTTGTTTTGGCTATAAAAGTCATACGTGTTAGTGTTGCTGGGCTTTCTGAGATCTGTGTGATAGTTGGGTGTAGCATAGAGACACCTGCCCTGACACTTCTGGCTTTGAAGAACCACAGATCATGATCTAGGAGCATTATCCCCAGGTGAGCACATGTGCTGTGCAAGCAGGATGCTTCTCACTCTGATCCTGCCACCAGCCCTTTAGGAACAAACCAGAAATAACTGCAACTGTGGAGTCTGCTACTGGGAGCAGCTTTTTAGTGTTTGTGGCTGGAATATTTATTATCAAGAAGTTAAGCACCCGTGAAATCCAGCAGCCTGCAGATCGGAAATGTTCACCTGAGGCACGTGTGTAACCACAGAGTAAGAAGGCAGGCGAGGGTCAGGAGTTGGCCTCTCTTCATTCAGAGAGTCACCTCAGTGGAAATGATACGTAAGAGCTGCTGGTGGCCAGCTGCCTCACACCTGGCAAAGACTGTAATGCTTCAGAAACGCTGCCTGCAGGCACATCAGTTCATTTTTACAGTGAGTTACTTTTTCCAGTGAAGAAACGGGGTAGATATTGTGTAGAGGTATAATTTTAAGAGGCTAGGATTTTCATGAATGTACAAGTACTTTGACACCAGTGCTTTTTTTGAAGTGCTTGTTCTATGTCTGTAAGCCCACACAGTTGCACCGTTGTGGCATGTGTGAGCCTAGAACACTTGGGAGTGACCACCTTTGTCATTGCTGTCAGGTAGGTGGTACTAAACACCTGTTGGTTTCTTCATGCTGTCTGTAAGCCACTGCGTAGCCTTGTTTTCACGTGTCAGCAATTGTGAATGGCTCTTACAAGGCTAGCCAAAAATTAAGGTCATTTTAGGTGCTGATTGTTTCCTTTCATCTTTTTCCGAGTAATGCCCTTGGTTTAGCAAGGAGCACTCCCTACTTTTTAGACTGCTGTTCATCTAAAGTTGTAATGCTTTTCAGTAGTAGATACTCTAGAATCAGCTGTTGGCAATATGTGGTTTTGTTCATAAACGTGCCTGATAACTGGTTAATCACATACATTTTCTTTCTTCCTTTGGAGTTCGTCCCCCAATTCCTTTGACATTTAGTACAGTACAGAGCAGATCCTTCTTTTTAACCACGTAGGACTAAAGAGTGCCTTGAGCTTTCTTCTAACTGTGCTTTGTCCTCTGTTTTGTTTTATTTAAGTGAAGTCTTACTGCTCCTCTGCTTGCTTTGGTCTTTGTGAACTGTACTTTTTGTTGGTCTCTCTCATCCTTGAACTGAACCTGCAGGAGAACCATAAGAATATTAACCTGCAACTGTTAAGTTCTGTTCCAGATGTTCCCCTCTGTACCAGATGTCTTTTATGGCTGGCTGATAACCCTTACACCTCTGTTGAGATGTGCTGCACCTGAAAACAGAGAGAAAATGTTTCCAGAATGTGTTGTTGAAGCAGGTTGTTGTCCCCTCATTCCATGTCTCTTGAAGCTTTCCTTGTCCTTTTCTAACACCATCTGACAGGGCTGTCCAGGGTTACTGGTACCAGCCTCTGCAAACACTGTTTTGTGAAGTATTCCAGCAGGAGTCTGGGCTTCCAGTTGTCTTTACTTGTGAGAACTTCAACCCCTGGCTGTGGTGTTAGCATCTCCTGCTCTGTCAGAGAGGTGGTCACAGGGTTGAGACCAAGGCTGAACACTAAAACCTGTCATCCCTGTTACCATGGGTGCTTCCAGGAGTGGAGTCTAGCCCACCAGCTCCCACAGCACTGTGGAGAATTAACGTCTTGTCTTCCTTGTAGGATTGTATTTCTTATTTAAGAAAGACAGGGATGCTCACAGGCATCTGAAAGGAAATGCAGTACGGCAGGACTGCTTGCTGCTCTGAACTCTCCTGCTTCTGCTCCCTGTCAGGGTAGGAGCTTATCTTCTTCCCACTACAACTGTCCTCGTTGGTGGGTACTCAGGCCCTGAAATGGGAACGTGAGGACCCCTTCTCCATAGTCCTAATAACTCTGACTCACACCATCTCTGAAGGGACCAGGGTCCGAGGTCGTCTTCTCGTCTTGGAAATTCTTCAAGGTCTTTTTTTTTTGTGGCTTTGAGTGGAGGCCCCAGCTGTACAAGTAATTGCTGTTCCTTTCAGGACTGACCAGGACAGCTAAGTGTCTGCAAATCCTTTTAGGAAATGAGGGTGCAGCCCTTCTGGACATTTGATGTCAAGCCTGGGCACCACTGTTAATCATCATTGGACTGTTGTGGATTGCAGGCAGGATCCATCTCTAGAAAACCTGGCAGGGCAAAGAGGTTGAGCTCTTACGCTCTCCTCACTGCCATGACTCCTAGGTGTCACAGTAGCATACAGTCTCAGGCAGGATTCAGGGATCGAGACCACAGGCAGTTGACTCATCCAGCCAGGAACATTTACTCCTCCTCAGTGCTCCACCTCTGCCTCCGCCTTCTTGAGCACATACATTTTTGTCATTCCTGGTGCAAATTCCCCCAGAAGGGCTTTTGTTACCGTGCTCGATCCAGGAGACAGGGCGACTGACTCCATGATACAGCCACTTGCATCCTTGCAGGTGGCACAGGGCATGGCCAACAGCGTGTTGAAGACCAGGTTGCCTGCTCTTTTAATGGAAGAACATCATGACCTCACAGTCCATGAGTCTTATAAAGAACGAGTGGAGACCGTCCCACTTGTGGGATCACCCAGCTCAGTGCAGGGCTGGAGTTGGTCCTCGGCTTACTCAAGAAGTCAACAACGCCAAGTCCTCGACCGGTCTTTACACCGTGCAACAGCGCAAGTCCTGCAGCCTTCCGTCACGCTTTATCACATGTGATGCCAGACGCGGATGTAAGGCCTTTTCTGGCAGTAGCTCAGGTGGTGTCCTCCTTCCAGCACTGCTTCTACACTTCTTAGCATCAGAGGTTCACTCCTTCTGTCGTTGCCGCCCCTACCCTGTGTCAACTGCACGCGTCTGCCAGGACGCTGGGACAAGCTGATGCTGCGCCACGGAGACGTGCCGTGTGTCATGTGGGTCTGTGGTGCCACAGCCAGGAGCTCTCCTCCACCTGATGCCTCTTTGTTTCACAGACCACACACTAAGTGTTAGCTGTGGCAGGAGGTGACTCCTGAGCTGTGGAAGCTCCGGAGCCAGCTCTTCCAAATATGGAGAGGTCATTTTTACAGTGATACTTCCTGATGCAGGATAAAGGAGAAGTACAGCGATTCAGGCAGGTTGTGAAAAAATTAGCAGTTTGCATTGAGAATGGTGACTAGGCTGCAGTCAGCTGTTCAGAAGGAGGCCTGAGTGCTTTGCCCCCTGGTACTTCCATGCTCCAGTTCTCTTCAAAAGCTGCAGATGAAGTACTGGGTCTTTATGCCATCAGGACCATCGTGACCATTGAGTCCCCTGGTTTGGACTGTCTGGGATCACGTGAGTCTTCCCCAAGGTGTTGGACACAGCTAGACCTTGACTGACGGACCAGGTGTCCCCATTGCCTTAGCTGAAATGCTGCGTGTTAACAGGCCATGCAGCACAACACGTCTTCCCATCTCTAGGGGCTGCTCAGTAATGTTTTAAAGAGTGGAAGTCCCACGATGAATGCCCAGACGTGACATTTAGCTCTCATTCAGTCTGTCAAGATATTGGATCGGGTCCTGGACTCTATGGCAACAGGAACCCAAGTACCAGAGTGGAGACAGTTGCCATCTGAAATAACATATTTGGCAGAGAGACGGAAGAGTTTATAAGACATACCAGTCTTTTCTTATAAATGGTAACCATTTAATGTGACTGCTTTTCAGGGGTGATAGTCAACGGGTAACACAGATAAGAAAATATCCCTTTTACTTGCAATTTTGGCACTCTGCTTTTATTTCTTTGATCCTGGTTAATATTTGTCCAGTTGACAGTACTGAGTAACTGAGGCACAACCATTGTATTTATAGCACCAAACAACAAAAGATGGAGATGCAGAGGTGTGCTGGGTTCAGTCA